GAATAAATAATAAGTATTACTTAGATATCTTCATCACGTCTACGTCAACGGTTTTAATGACGATATTTGATTTTTTTAAAAGCAAAAAGAACACGAATGATTCGTTGATAATAATAATATTTATTTAAATTACTCGTACCTATATGTTGTTTATAAAATGATAGGTAGTATCAATCTTTTAATACAAACTTAATAGCATTAACTAGTTTGTATATTTATATTCAAAATACTTATTATTACTACAAATTATAGTATTCTAGAATGAGTATTGGTGGTTAAAATTGCAGGAAATTATATTGTTATACAATATGTTAAAAATAATAATACACTACAATATGTTAAACAATGCATAAAACATATCTCCAATTAATTTATTATAGGTTTCGGTCGCAGTTCTCGACCTAATTTTGCGTCGGACGCAACTAAAGTAGAGGCACAATGGGTCGAGTCGGTGGAGGAGTGGCGGCGAGAAGTTAACCTCGATCAGTGTGCCTAGTGCGAGTTCCACAAAATAATTCGAATGACTTCACCATCGCGTTAACCGAGTTAACGCCATACCTATCGACAAGTGAAGACAAGCGAGTGTGTGTTACAATCGAAGCTAACCTTTCGATTCGCGTTTACTCACCGTGAATCGCGTTCGTTCCTTCTTTTATGTTGGTAACACGTTAGCGTCGTGAAATAAACTAACCAAGTTTAGGATGACATAGTTGCTTAGTCGTCTTAATATTAGAAGCTGTCTATCAAAGTTGTGGTTATTATAGCATCTTTCATATACTTTGACAGTTTGTTTGTTGTGAACTTACGATTATTGAAAATATTAAATTATAATTATAAGTAAAAAAATATGAAGACTAGTTCGTCCCAATTCGATTTGATGGTGACAATTATGGAGCAGTAAGTTGAATTTAATTTATTTAGTGTTTAGGGAACATATTAATATGTTGTTGTATATTTTGTAACTAAGTTTATTGGTTTTAGGCATGGAGATCTCAGCAAACCATCCAATAATGCAAGAGGTAGGATGGCTTGTATAAAAAACTGGGAGGAATTAGCTCAATTTTTGAATAGTGATGGTAGTGGTGATACAAAATGTACTGAGAAATGGAAGAAGGTACGTCTAAATGATTATTTATTTTTATATATTTTGGTTTAAACTGGGTTTTGGTTCTCTAATTCTATGAAACATTGAAGTCCGTAGTCTCTGCCTACCCCTCTGGGTGACAGGCGTGAGTGTTTATGTATGTATTTGCTTCAAAAAAAAAGCCAACTTGTTTGTCTTTTTGGTTCTTGTACACAACTACTAGGTATATTGATTTTGTTGAAAGTTTCATTTATATTTTTCATATTTAAGGTTCTCAATCTTGGAACGACCCAGGGCAATCAACACAACCTCATGTTGCCAAGAAAGTCAACCAGGGCCTGCTTTGTCGGGGCAAACTACACCTTGCCGTGCAAGACCAATTCGTACTCGAGGATCACCTCGAAGACGAGTGAGGCCAGCACACACAGAGCAGGCAGCACAAGGGACTCCGGTTCTCTACACTCACCATATGAAACACAGCAGTGTTAGGCTGCTATTTTACGCTGGTATTCTGTGAGAGCGTGGTCCTTCCCCGGTCGAGCCGACCTATTCGTGCTACAACTATACTACTATTATAGCTGTAGCATGGCTCTACAAAATAATTTAGATTACTTTTCTGTTCTGTTTCAATGTTCTTGTAATTATTAAATTATTGTATTAAGTTGTAATTGTAATTATTTAATTAAATTTGTGATAAAATTTAAGGCTGGTTATAAATAAAAGAAAGATTTAAACTTATTCAAATTTATTTATTTAATCCCTATAGTAACCTTCTTGCTAATTGATCTCTTAATATTCTACCTTGAATTAAATCAGAGGTAGGTTCTCTTTCTGTGTAACTTATTTGATCAGATTCCACCATTCTTTCAAATTGCAGACCTAAAAATAAATCATAATTAATAAGTTTACTGTTTATAAGTTAGCTTAATATATTATAGTAATTCAATTTAAAATTAAGATACCTACCTATATTTTCCTCTGTATCCTCAACACCAAAATTAATAATTATATTATGTAACACAGAGCATGCTAAAATAATGTGTGCACATTTTACGGGCTTGTAGTGCAAAACTCTATCCTTGTGCAGACATCGTCATCGATTTTTCAGCCTTGAAAATGTGTTCTCAATAACAACTTGAGCTCTCATGTGTTTTTCATTATAATTATTGGACTCAGTGTCTAAAAATGGTGTCATAAGCCATGGGCGTTGGGGATATCCAGAATCTCCTAGAGTTAAAATATACATGTTATTGTCAATAATATAGATAGAAATTATTTAGTAATGTTTTACTTAAAAATACTTCATATAACTCAAAACATCCCAATAAGTTATACTGTGGATATATTACCTAAAAGCCAGACAATTTCTCCATTTTGGTGCAAAGATTGCAGGTATGTGTTTAAATTACTGTTTTCCCATATAAAGGAATCATGATTAGCACCTCCAAACTTGGAATTCACATTTAAAATTCTATATTCATCATCACATACCTGAAAAGAAGACATTTTGTTTATTTTCTACCCCTTTTTAACCAAGGAAAAATAAAAAAACTTAATATTTACCATTTGAACATTAAGTGAATGGTAGTGCTTACAACTATAATACAAATGTTCCTCTTCTTTTGGTGGGGCAACTATTTTAAAATGACTTCCATCAATACAACCTACCACTCCAGGGATTTCATATTTTCTGTAAAAACTGAATTTTAAAATAAATATTAACTGAATCTAATGATTAATTTGCATTAGGTTGTTTAAAAATAAGCATATATTTATTATCGTTGACTAACTGCTTGTCTAGCAGCTGGAGTATCAGGAACCGAATATATTTATTTATTATATTTTTGTGTGTCAGCGCTGGGTAACTTCTTCTATGTACACACTACACATTATTTGAGACGTGTGCTTTGTAACCCCAACTGGCATTTGGTAGGATCCAGTTGCAAAAAAGAATAGAGCAGTGAGCACCTGCAATTAAAAAGAGAACAAACTTATATTTAAACTTGCACTTGTTTTAAACTTGAGTTGCAAAAATGTGAATACTTTAATGATCGATACATACTTTATGTTCCAAGGAAACGCGTTGAGAGGACCTAAGATTTGTCAAACTCCTTAGCTCTTTACACAAAAACTTGAAGACTTTCTTGGAAATGCGATATCTATCTTTAAAGTGCCTCCCCGTGAGGTGTAACAAAGGGTTCAAAGATGCACGAGTTCTTCTTTCAACATTGGCTTTATAATTGCGCTCATCTTGTGCCTTAGCGGCTGTAAACATCCTCCATGCGAAAAAAAACGTCCTGCCATAATTAAATATTGTTCACACAAACCGAAATAAAATTAAACCTTCAACAATCGTTCTCACTATGCTTTCTCACTGTCAAAATTTAGGTGAAAACTTTTTCGATATCGACCGCGTAAACTTTATTTATGTTAGATCAAAATTGGAACTCGCACTCGCAAAATTCTTGAAACAACCAATCACGTGCAGTGCTGCCACATGTCAGTTTAACAAATCTGTACTGTTAATGTAAAAAATCTGTATAATATCTGTAGAAAGGAATCAAAGAAAATCTGTATGAATCTGTGCTGCTGGTGTAAAAAATCTGTACAATATCTCTAGAAAGACATCAAAGTAAAAGATTTTGACCTATGTAAGTTGAGGGAAGAAGATGTGATAATAAAAAACAATTAAAATTATAGACTATTTATATTTATATATTTCTTTGTTAATTTTATCCAACATAGTTTTGTCTGTAGAAAAAGAGTTACAACACTCATTTTTATTGTTAATTAGCTGTTTGGTTAAAATTAATGCTTCCATAGTCTTAGTGTTCAAGCTATTCCTTGTCTTGGTTTTAATTAAATTAATTGATGAAAATATTCTTTCTACAGCCACCGTAGAGTGTGGCAAACATAGAAGGTTCTGAATAAATTGTTTTAATGTGGGGTATAGCAAATTTCCGTCTATATTCACGATGCTAAAAACTTCGGCCCAAAATTTCTCTTGATCTTCTTCGGTCAATTTTATATGTTCATTTAATCCCAAATGGCGCCATTCATTGTCCAATGCCTGCAATTTATTTTCCGATACTAATTGTGGAAACTTTTGTGATATGTGCAGAAGGGAGAAAGGAGTGTTGCGTTGCTTAATTTTATATGGATTTAAAAAAGTTTAAAAAATCTCTTATAATGTCATTATTAAATCTTTAATGTAACTCTCTTCCATCCAGCGTTGGTTAAACGTTTGAGCTTTACGGGGTTTTTTATTGGCCATTGTCCACAAAAATATTAAAAAATACCTAATTCACTTTATTTTCACTTGATTCGCACCTTTGTTCGTGTGTATCAAACCAAACAAACTATGAAACTGTTTCGTTGGATATGCGATCCGTATAGCGTCGTCACTGTCACACGAATCACGAATGTGCCGAATTGGTATAAGTTTATTTATAATCCTAGGGACTCCCCGATAACAAGCAAGAGTAGATTTTTTACGCCAGTTAGTATTGCTAGCTTTGATTATTGTTAAGCTTCTTACACACAGGCGCGATATTATCGAGTAGACTGATGATATGAATGGCTATCCTAGAAAGTATTTATGTACAAAAAGTACAAATTTCAAAAATCTGTATAAAAGTAGTATTAAATCTGTTATCTGTAATGAGCTTCAAAAATCTGTATGAACACAGATAAATCTGTAAATATGGCAGCACTGATCACGTGCGTTTACGTTCTCGAAGAGTAAAGTATTCTGTGGAGTGAATGCTCGATGGTCGATATCGACGACGTAATAAACTCGCACTCATGAACTGTGATTCCGATTATTGCCACTAGTTGGCGCTGATTTTATTCCATACAAATTGTAGTTAACTTTCTCGCTATCGAGCGCGTAAAAAAACTCGCACTAGGCACACAGATGATTTTGTTGGGACATAGTTTAGGTGGCTACATTGCTGCCGCCTACGCTCTCAAATACCCCGAAAGGTAAACGAATTTTCTATGATATAACTTAAAACAAATTAGGAAAAAGAAACTAAAATACTTTATTTTATACAAACCAATGACGTACACAACACAAATTACGTAGTTATGGAGTAACAAAAAGTAAATTAAAATTTTTGGAGAAAAAATTCCACCGTACGTTTCTAATGTAACTATTTAGACGATATTTTGTATTGTCAGCTTGAGCTTGTGATATTCCTTCAAGCTTCACAGATTCTGAAGTCGGGGTTTTAATTTTTCTATAGACTATGTTTTAATGTCACTTTCAGAAGCTAAAAGCTGACTTCAAATAACTTTTTTGTTATTTGACGTAGTTTTTACTCGTGCTCTTTAATCTATGTATTCCCTGACCAATACATAGCATAACCAAATGCCACCTTTGTAGACCACTCAGAACAATTATTTTTTAAATGAAATAATTCTGTAACAGCGCCATCTACACGGTTTGTCAAATACTACATCGACCAGCGAAACTGACGTAGTTCTCTGCAAATTTATTCAATGGCACTGTTATTAATGCCGTATAGGTTACATACATTAGTTGACAGGGCCTGGTTTTAAGAACAAACTAAACATTATTGACTTTGGCCTGACGACAGGTCTGACAGCGTTGGTCCCATACAATGTCGGGATCTGAGAGGTTAATAAAAGTTTAGTTTTGTTGAGCTAATGATTAATTTCAATCGACATAGATTACAAGTAGCGATGTAACGATACATGAATTTGCCGATACGATACCGATACCGATTATCGAGAAAAATAATCGGCGATACCGATACCGATACCGATATCGATGGCTTAGTAGTAAATACACCCAGTAAATAAAGAATGATGTACTTTATGTACATAAAACTTACTTATGTTACATGGAATAAATAGACACTCCATTCTGTAAAGTGTGGCAAAATTGAAAATTAAAAATAATGAAAAAAAAGGTAAAATATCATATCAACATTTATTTGGGTAACATTTATCAAGGCATCAAATCAAAAGTAAATCAATATTAATAATCAAAGTTCACTTTAGGAAGATTTTTGTTTAGGAAACAAAGTTTATTCAAATTACTAGCAGATAATCTGTTGCGCAAATCATTTTGTATGAGGCCTGCAGTTGAAAAAAGACGTTCTGAGGCAACTGAGCTCATTGGGTAAGATAAATATTTTTGTGCAAGCATTTTCAATTTTGGGTATTTATCTTCATTGCTCCAATAGTTCTTTGGATCTTGTTTCATTGGAATATTTGGACATCTCGTATAAGATTCCACCTCTTCTTGCTCAGGATGACTAGACATGTTTGATAAAGGTTCCTCCTCTTCTGCTTCTTTAATCAAACTGTCACAAGCACTCCAGATACCTGAGAAAGTCTCATCTTGCTTTTTTTGTGACTCTACACGCTCTACAGGAACATGTGTATCCCTGTTTGTAATTAAGGAGATAAGTATTCTTTTCGCCTCAATGCTTGTGGATTGTAGAAAGAACGTACGCAATTTATAGCGCGGATCTAGTGTTGTTGATAAAATAAAGGTTTCCTCACTCTCTAGATAATCAAATCTGTCATTTATTCCAGCTAACAAAATCTCTACAAAATTATAATATTCTGGGCTGCTGTAACTGTCGTCCGCGGTCTCTTGATTATTTTTGATCTGTTTTAAAATTTTTCGCATACTGTTAATAAGAGGTATAGCGTCAGATAAGCAAGCAGATTCTTCACTTATAGATGTTGTAGCTTCTTCAAAATAATTCAAAGTCGAAACAACTTGTTCCATCAATAGCCATTCTTCTGTAGACAATTCAGTTCTACATTTCACATGAGGCAAAGAAGCTTGAATTGCAACTCGTTGCTCTAAAAGTCTTCTAAGTGCATGAAGGGTTGAATCCCAGCGAGTAACGACATCCTGAATGAGAACGTGACAAGGAACGTTATGAGATTTTTGCATTTCTGTTAGGATTTTGCGACCTGACGTTGAATGACCGAAGTGGCCAATAATAGATCTCGCCTTTGTAATCATGGCATTTATTTTCTCTTCAAAAAACGCATCCTTCAGCACTAATTGTAAAGAGTGCGCCATACATCTGATACGTTGAACTCCCACTAGTGTTATAGCAAGCCCCATATTCGGTGCATTATCTGTCACTACAGCACGTACCCGTTCGCTGATGTGCCAATCTTGAAATAATTGACGTAAGTTTTGAGCTATGTTTTCAGCGCTATGATTTTCGCCTTCAAAAGGAAATACTTCTAGGCAGTAGTTCTTCAACTCAAAATTTTTATCAAGTCCGTGAGCAGTCACACTTATAAAGTCGTTAACGGACGAAGAAGCATCGCTTGTCCATAAGTCAGTCGTGATAGTGATGTGCGGAAGTTCATGCAAAAGTTCCATTATTTTGGTTCTTACACGGCAGTACATGTCTGGTATTACATTTTCCGAAATATGGGGACGGGAAACCATTTTGTATTTCGGGCAAAACTGCTTAATAGTGCGTTGAAACCCCAGTTTATTTACTAAGTCAAACGGCTCCATGTCTACACACATTTGTTCAGCTATTGTTTGCGTGATCGCTTTTGCCCTAGGGTCATCGGTATCATACATGACACTTTTTTCCAAAATGTGCTCCAAAGTAGCTTGTTTTTTAGGCGGCGGGCCACCGTCGGCGCTTGAGGTACCTGGGGTGTCTTTTTCCAACTCCTTTTCGTGATAGCGCTTCACGTGTGTCCACATGTTAGATGTCGTGAAGCCCTTCGATGAAACTGCTTTGCTACCACGAGAAACGCTGACATTGCAATATAAACAAGTCGCTTTTGTGTCATCATCCCGTTTTATTTGAAAATGATTCCAGATGCTACTTCTATGTTTTAAAGGAGTCGCCATTTTATTTATCGTACGTAACTGTATTACAGTCCTCACTTCACTCAAAAACAGACAAAATCATGAATAGCGGCGACGAGACGTAAATTCGCCGAAAAACATTACAACGCTGGGCCAAAACTAAGCAAACACTGACGAGTGACGACCGTTAACCGCATTGCCGTTTCGCTGGCGGGCGCATCCTTCGCCCCTCCCGCCCTCTGAGACGGAGTGGCAACGTGGTCGCGCGCGAGCGCGTCGTTCTTTTCGCGCGCTTTTCAAACTGTTTATCGGCTGTATTTAAATCGGCGATGCCGATATATCGGCCTGCCGATTATATCGGCCGATATATCGGTATCGGTATCGGTATCGGTATCGTTACATCGCTAATTACAAGTAATACTTCATCATCATTACTCCATCTACCTAGGGTCCTATCTTTGTTGTATAATCTCTGTCTCAGCCACTCTTACCTGCCTGATGACCTTATGCGAACCATAGTTGTGCCAGTTATTAAGAACAAGCCGGGGGATCCGTCGGACTTGACAAATTATAGACCAATTTCACTGGCTACTGTGGTGGCAAAGGTGCTGGACAGTTTGCTTGATGAACACTTAAGTAGTCATATAAAATTTAATGATGCACAATTTGGTTTTCAACCAGGTCTGTCCACCGAAAGCGCTATTTTGTGTCTCAAGCAAACTGTCAAATACTACACTGATAGGAGCAGTCCAGTCTTTGCCTGTTTTCTTGACTTGTCCAAGGCCTTCGATTTGGTGTCATATGACTTATTATGGAAAAAACTTCAAAGTGATACTGATGTGCCGTACGAGTTAGTCGCGGTGCTACGATCGTGGTATGGCATGGACTCAGATACTATGTAAAAAAGAGCGAGTTTATGATGTTCAAGGCGAGAGTGAAATCCCGACCATGTGCGACTACCTTCACACTCAACAACTCACCTCTAAAGCGTGTCTCACATTTTAAGTATCTGGGTCACTGGGTCACCGAGGATCTGCGTGATAATATGGATATCGAGCGGGAACGTAGGATGCTGTCCATCAGGTGTAACATGGTGGCCCGTAGGTTTGCTCGTTGCAGTAGGCAGGTAATGATTACTATTTTCAAAGTCTACTGCCAGTCTTTTTACATGGGCAACCTATGGGTTAACTATACGCAACGGGTGTACAGCGCGTTGCGTGTCCAGTATAATAATGGGTTTAAGATGCTGATGGGGCTGCCGCGCTTTTGCGCGTCAGTAATGTTTTCTGAAATGCGCACTGATGGTTTCCATGCCATTATTAGAAAGCGTGCTGCATCGATGCTGAAACGTTTGCGTGGCAGCTCCAATAGCATTCTCAACACAATGGCAGATAGGTGGGACTCGTCGCTGCTTGAGCGCTGGATACGGCTACATGCCACGGTATAAGTCACCGGTACCCTCGTGGCGGCTGGTCTCAAACATCTCCATTTACATTTTGTTATCATTATTTATGTAAATTAATTTAATTACTAACACTATAATTTAAGTTATATTTCATTTCACTGTTACTAACATTCTTGTATGGGTCCTGTGTTGCTGAACAAAGACCTTTCCTAAGGAATACCACAAGGCACGGTCCTGAGGTATCTGCATCCATCGACTTCCTGTGTATCTCTTACCAGTCACTCCTTACGGGGTACCGCCCTTCATTTTGGAAGTAATTATTATTGAAAGTCATTTTCTTAACCAGTGGTCAAGACATAATGCCTTGACTTGAAGAAAAAACCTTTGCCTTGGGAGGAACTTGGAAGTAACTCTAGTGTTATTTGCTTACTTATAAGTTGAGTGGAAGAGAGCGCCTTAGGGCATTAAGTCGGCCTTTGTACTTCTTAGTGCAAAAATGATAAAATAAATAAATCGATAACTCAGTGAAACACTTTTCAAATATTAATTAGTGATGGGCCGAACATGGGTTTCACCGGATACGAATATTCGTCCGAACGTGTAAAAGCCATGCTGTGGCTATACGAGGGCGACACTGAAAGTTTTTAGAACTGGCCACTTGTAAACGATATAATAAAGAAAAAAGTTTGAAAATGGAACTCTTTGCCAATATTATTGTGTATGTATTTTATTAATTTGTCATTTGTTTACGATTTGGCGGCAAATTGCAAATTGCCTGTGCCACGTCAGCATGAATTTAACGCGAGAAAATTTTCGTACAATGATTTTTATGACTTTCGATGTCATTTAAGTCAACAAGAAAGTTATGATAGACTTCGATTGGCCTTTCACGATGAAGCCCCATCTCGTGCCACTGTTTACAACTGGTTTAATGTATTTAAACGTGGTCGCACTAATCTCACCGATGATCTGCGCGAGGGACGGCCTTCTACGGCGACGACTGAAGATAACATCAGTGTTGTGCGGCGTATGACGGAGACTGACAAAAGAGTGACTCATCAGCAGATTCGGACAAGCTTAGGGATCGGTATGAGTCAAGTGCAAAAAATCCTCCATGAATTTTAGCGGTCAGGAAGCTTTGTGCCCGGTGGATACCTCATAATTTGACAGAGTCCCAAAAACTCCGTCGTGTTGATTGGTGTAGTGAAATGGATCAAAGATTTAACGGAGGTGACTCAAATCCTGTGTTCCACAAACTTAGGGGTGACGGAAGCTGGATTTATTGTTATGATCCTGAAACTAAGAGACAGTCTGCTGTCTGGGTGTTTCCTTCCGAGGTGTTGCCAATTAAAGTGAAGAGAGGTCGAAGCGTGGGAAAATGATGGTGGCCTCGTTCTTCGGAAGGACAGGTCATTATGCAACAATTGTTTTAGATGATCGAAAAACAGTTACTGCAGAGTGGAACACTAACAATTCTTTGCCACATGTCTTGGAAAAAGTTCGGGAGAAACGACCTCGCAGTAGGATCCTCCTTCACCACAACAACGCGTCGTCGCACACCACCAAGCAAACAATCGACTACTTGGCGACGTCAGACGTGGAATTACTGGGTCACCTGCCCTACAGCCCCGTCCTCGCACCTTGCGATTTTTATTTATTTCCGAAAATAAAAGAAAAACTTCGAGGAATACGTTTTATGGACGCCGTGGAAGCAGTGCCTGCGTTTCCAAATGCCGTCGAAGAGACCCCTAAGGACGAGTGGGCAAAATGCTTTTCTCAGTGGTTCCATCGGATTCAGCGATGTATTGATGTAAATGGAAACTATTTTGAGAAAAGATATAATAAAACGTATAACTTGCTAGTTTGTTCAGTTTTTGATTTTCTAAGAACTTTTAGTGTCACCCTCGTATTATTGGTATAGTTGTAGCACAAATGGGTCGGCTCGACCGGGGAAGGACCTGCTCTCACAGAATACCATCGTAAAATAGGTGACGTGATTTCATATGGTGAGTGTAGAAAAGCGGAGACCCTTTTTACTGGAAACGAGGCATTCCATCTTAGTCCTCGCGGGTGAAAACGCATCTGCATTTTGATTAGTAATCGAGGATAGATGTATGTAGATGTATATGGGCCACAGCAACCACTTACCATCAGGTGGACTGTGTGCTCGTTTGTCACCCTTATCCTACAAAAAAAATGTTCGGCATAATTGATTACCGTACCTAAACAGTTCAGGTCTGTACTTGTTACATGTAAAGTTCATAAGACAATTACAGTTTTCAATAAATATTTCTATTTTCTTTCGCTACACTGAGTAGAAACTAGCAATATGTTTAAAATCTGCTGAAATATTGCAATTCAATTATGCAACTTCTATCAATAAATATTGGTTAAATGATGTAATAATGATTAACACAATGTTGATTAAAATACAAGCAAAATATATTTCATTCCTTGCAATAAGACTTGATTAAGAATTTACTGTAAACCAAATCGAGTTACTTATAAACAGCCATACATTTTTTGATAACCATCTTTTTTATCAAATAATCATGGAAAAAGAAACTGCAGTGTTTTAAAAGCATAAAGTACAACAACTTTGTAAGACTGCATTAATCAGTCATGCTCAATCAAGTCGAATATGCCAGATACCTAATGAAACTAATGAAAATATCTCTAGCTCTACCACTAACTAGGACGTAAGATTTAGCCCTCATATGTAACATGGGATGATGCGCTGTGTCATCTATTTTCTGAGATGTTGGTGCTGTTAGCCTTTGCGGCTCTTACAGCTTCATCTGACTAACTGACGTGTTGTGCTGCGTCGAGATATTTATATGGCATGAGCGAGAAGAACGCAAGGTGTCTTGCTCACACACCTTCGAGTAGAACGGCGAGACGGGCGACGGAGATATTCATGCGAAAATAATTTGCATAATCTTTATGCTCTATTGAAACCCGTATGTCAGTCAATAAGTTAATATGGGTATAGATATCCCTTTAAAAGCCAGTTTTTTATTCAGCGCTTTCTTTTTATACGTTTTTTTTTACACAAAATTGCAATAAAAATTGCAGCACAGGCCTTTATTATTTATCTTCTATTATCTATCTTCTCCCTCTGAAATGTTGTGTATGACTATGTAATGTCGAAATTATTCTATTATTCAAACATCAATCATGATTGATCGAACTGATTGAGGCGTGTAATGGGCGCTTAAGATTATTAGCCCTGATTAGTGGTGTGGTGGCGGCAGGGTGCGGCACCTGGTGCTGGCGGACACGTGGGGCTTCCCGGAGCGTCCGGCGCAGTCGTTGCAGGACAAGCAGCCACTGCCGCTGTGGGTGCGCGCGCTGGCGACGGCCATGCAGCCGCTCAACCCGCTGTGGGCAGTGCGCGCCGCCGGCCCGGCCGGCCGCTGGCTGGTGCGCCGCACGCGCCCCGACCTCGCGCTCAAGTTCGCGCCGCGCCTGCCGCACGCCGAACAACTCATCCCCGACTACATCTACAAGTGCAATGCGCAGACGCCCAGGTCAGTGACCGGCCACGTTGCAGCTCATTATCGTTCACTTACTCATTCGTTCAATAAAGCATATCAAGTATGCGCCGAGCCTGCCGCACGCCGAACAACTCATCCCCGACTATATCTACCAGTGCAATGCGCAGACGCCCAGGTCAGTGACCGGCCACGTTGCAGCTCATTATCGTTCACTTACTCATTCGTTCAATAAAGCATATCAAGTATGCGCCAAGCCTGCCGCACGCCGAACAAAGCATCCCCTACTACAACTATCAGTGTAAAGCGCAGACGCCCAGGTCAGTGACCGGCCACGTTGCAGCTCATTATCGTTCACTTACTCATTCGTTCAATAAAGCATATCAAGTATGCGCCAAGCCTGCCGCACGCCGAACAAATCATCCCCTACTACAACTACCAGTGTAAAGCGCAGACGCCCAGGTCAGTGACCGGCCACGTTGCAGCTCATTATCGTTCACTTAATCATTCGTTCAATAAAGCATATCAAGTATGCGCCAAGCCTGCCGCACGCCGAACAAATCATCCCCGACTACAACTACCAGTGTAATGCGCAGACGCCCAGGTCAATGACCGGCCATGTTGCAAGTCATTATCGTTCACTCACTCATTCGTTCAATAAAGCATATCAAGTATGCGCCGAGCCTGCCGCACGCCGAACAACTCATCCCCGACTATATCTACCAATGCAATGCGCAGACGCCCAGGTCAGTGACCGGCCACGTTGCAGCTCATTATCGTTCACTTACTCATTCGTTCAATAAAGCATATCAAGTATGCGCCAAGCCTGCCGCACGCCGAACAAATCATCCCCGACTACAACTACCAGTATAATGCGCAGACGCCCAGGTCAGTGACCGGCCACGTTGCAGCTCATTATCGTTCACTCACTCTTTCGTTCAATCAAGCCTATCAAGTACGCAACACGTCTGCCACACACCGACGAACTCATACCCGACTACATCAACCAGTGCAAAGCACAGCGCCGAGGTCAGTGACCAAACACGTTACAACTCATTCGTTCAATAAAGTCTATCAAGTACGCACCCCGCCTGCCACCCCAGCTCATACACGACTACACCTGTCAGTGCAACGCGTAGAGACGCCGAGGTTAGTGACCTAAACACGTTACAACTCATTATCGTTCACTCACTCATTCCTTTAGTGACCTAACGTCACAACTCATTATCATTCACTCACTGCGACAGAACTCGAAATTCCATCCTCGTCATCTCTGAAGACGCTGCAGTCAATCTCTTGGTTTGTTTCTATATGGCTGGTGTTTACCATATGGTTATAACCGCTACCTATCGGAAGGCACAAATTCTTTGTGACAACTCTTACTAAACCCACAGGACAAAATGGAGTGATGGATTATCTTCAAACACCGCCCCACGGTATATTATTGTTATTATTGTCATCTGATTGTGAGGAAATTTATATGGTACTATTGCGAAAGTCCTTATTCTAGAGAATAATGCGAGCACACAGTCTACTAAGTGGTAAGTGGATGCTGACACCTATATCTATTCTCGATTAAGAATCAAAATGCAGATGGGTTGTCAATTGTCACCCCTGTGAACTCAGATGGAATGCCTTTTCTACACTCACCAAACGAAACACAGCAACATTGAGCTGTGATGCTTACTATTTTGTGAGATCGTGGTTCTTCCCCGGTCGAGCCGACCCATTCGTGCTACAACCATAATAATGCTGCAACGTGCCTCTACCACGTGTATTTTATCATCCCATGGGTATCTAAGGCTTCTTTAGACTGTGGTGTATTGTTAGAGTCAATAATTATTATTTCAAACGATATATTCCGTCGGAGCCCTTAAAGGCGACTTGAAACGCTACAAAGTAGTACTACACGTACGTACCTAAGTTACGTAGGTAACAATTTAAGAAACTTCACCAACGGCTGTTTTTTCTATATAAGCCATGTGGCCAGCTCATGGTGCACTGCACTAATATAGTAAACCGTTAGCTTTGTTCCCTCACTTACTTTGTTTGTTACCTTTAGTTTATTACGGGCGTAATATTTTGTTATAACATTGCTTATCCATAAAAAAACATTTTTCCCATTTTTATTCTAGTGGTGAGAGTGCATTCCATGCATTGATGATTGGTTTCGGCTGGGCCAAGAACCCTATGGTACACCGTGTGGGTCAGTTAGACCCGAAGCTTCCAATCACCGTCATGTATGGCTCACGGTCTTGGGTGGACAACACGACTGGCGAGTTGCTCTGCCAGAATAGACCTAATTCCAAGACATACGTCCAGGTAATTATCTTTATATATTAAAATTACGTGTCACGTTGTTTGTCCGCGATGAACTCCTAAACTACTGAACTTATTTCAATGAAATTTTGCACACTGTGTGCAGTTTGGTCCAACTTGAGCGATTAGTTTTTATCCTGATAAGTGACGCTCAATATTTTTTTATTACAAATTTAAGGATTTTTTATATGAAGGGTCGTCGAAAAGGGCAGAACAACGTCTGCCTGGCCAGCTAGTAGTTAATAAATATTTAAGAATTTAATTTATTATTTTATGTAAGTAGGATTTGGTGGTGTAAGGTTTGGAAACTTTTTAAAGAAACAAACCTCATCTGCAAACGGTGCGTCCTGCCCATTGACCAATGTACTCTTGGCGGAAAATCTTTCCTCAAGGCCGGCCACATACATTCGGAATTCCGAACGCAGCAAATTTATATAAAATCAAGGACCTATCACACTTATAGTAGTTTTGCGTTCGAAATTTTCTCCGAATTGAAATTCCTCATGATTGCCTGTACGTTCAGAATCCCGCACGGAGTTCTGAACGCAAGTTTTCCATAGATTTTTTAGGAGTCTCATCACATTCGTAAATTCCGTACGGAACGCGCCCAGTGTGCGTCGCACGACCGAAGCGATATGTATATCTATCGTAACCTTTCATCTTATTTTGTTTAATAATTCGTCGAAAGAGCTTATGGATATCTATATATAAAAAAAATATCTGAATAGATAAATCTTTTTACATAATATTGACTATATTTAAATCTTAGGGTGATGAGGGGATGCACCCAGTAACAATGATACAGCAACAAACCGCAATCAGAATATCGTTGTCATTATTCGCTGGCAGAATGTCTAGACTCAATGAACAGCGTCTCTTAACTGAGCCTTGTTATTCCGAAGGGAAATAAACGTAACAATGTGTGTGATGCAAAGATATTTAAATATATAGGTATACTATAGAGCGGGTATTGGGAACATTTATATACAAAAACTATGAGCTAGTGCGCGTGTGGCACCCTCTAGCTAAAAATAGCAAAACAACACTAAACATTTATTAAGACAACATTTTAGCTATTCCCCAGTAGGTGATGCTAATAAATATAACGTCGTTTTAGGAATGTTACCGTTTCGATATCATAGTATTGATAATGTTGTTGAAGATTACTAAGTTTGAAATGCTTTTCTATATAATAATAGGGAATATACATGATTGTTTTATTGTATAAATCTATTTATCATGACTTTCATCACACGGAAAAAATCATATTAACTTTTTACGCCCCTTTAGTGTCATGAAATAAAATATTTAATTTCCAATAACTAAGAATCAATTCAAACAGCAGTCACTTTGGTTTTGCCACCTTGGTAGTGGTACCACTCGGTTCATTAGCTGCTATAATAATAGCATATGATTGATCGGTCGGCGTTAAAGACACATCGAGAAACGCTAAATCCAATAAGAGAGCGCTTCTATGTTTTTAAATTCGTTTCTATTACAAAAATATACTTCAATCTAAAATATTTTAGGAAAACACTGAACTTAAAAGCCGTTTCACGATTTTTCACGTTTCATCAGCTGCAGTACTTAAAGACACTACCCACATCAATAAAAATTGTTATTTTAAGTTTTTACCTTATTTTAACTCAGGCTTAACCTACTACTTCTTGCATCTAATATCTTTAACAGTACAAATTGTTTTTAATGTAAGAAACATATAGCCCTCTCCTATCACTATAAGCGAGGATCTATAATGGCTTTGTCCTTGAAAACCACCAGACAACGAAGCCTGGTATGTAAAAGAGAAGACTTGTTGTATTGCTAAACATCAACACAGCAAGTATCCTTAGCATGCTCATAAGCAAGAAAGAAAAATCTCATCAGCATGCCTAAAAAAAAATTCCCACACTTGCTCCACATAAAGTGGGCTACTTAGCATAGTTGGTATATGCTACTCATTTTTGTTGGTATGAGTACAGTATCGTTGACTGTTTTACCTCTTTAAATATTGTAAAGGATTAAATCGGCATTCTAATTCTAAGTATATTTTTTTTTTCGATAATCGCAATTGATAAACGTCGTCAATCAATTCTAGAACATTCTACTAGAAATAATAAAATTCAAAGATTATTCGGTAAATATATGTTATATTTACGATAATAAACCGAAATCACGTTCAGTTTTTGCTCCATATCGTGACTTACAATATCTTAATGCACAACCGGGCATATTTTCTTTAAAAATATTTTTTAAATATATGAAACGAATGAGTCTTGACTTTTTGACGATGTCACTAAGACTAAATGACAAAAATCGGAGATATATCCTATAGGACATAAGTTACAGACGACAGTTTTGCTGCTGATGTCCGGTCTATTAATACTACTACTTAAATGTCTTTGGTGTTATGAATTTACTGAATCCCGAATCGGAATTTCGAATGTATGTGGCCGGCCTAAATGTTACAAATAACTAAAATTTCAAGGTCAGTTAGGTGAAATGGCGATACATAAACCATTTTAAATATTTATATATATAAACCTTACAGTGTGAAGTACGGCATTGGGCAAACTTCCAGCTCCGCAACAATTATTATTTGTAGACCATTCAGACTCGTAATGTGCAGGATTCAAACACGCGGCCCACTGCAGTCAAATGCTTAGCAACGCAGACTTCGATTCGATTTTATTTTTTATAAGATGTTTTCCATTCATTCATCTACATTTTTACCGCATGTAGTGAGTGGCAGCATAAGCAAATTCACTACTACCCTATATAAACCCGTGGATGTCACCTCTTACGACAAAAACTGCGTTTGTCAACCCACCCGCCAGCCGTAACGACAGCCAAATATACCCCATATAAGAGCAGCCGATGGCAAAGTTCAGCAGTGGACTTTTGATAAGCTGTGATGAATAATACATTTATGTTGCAGGTGCTTAACGGAGCCGGTCACCACGTGTATTTAGACAAACCGGATTTATTTAATAAATATGTCATAGAGGCGTGCGATCGAGCTGACGCAACCGATTCACGTACGGAGAAGCAAGTTGCAGACGAAAGCAATTGTAATGGAGAGATAAACTCAACGCCCTCTTCTTGATAGTTGTAGAAATATATCAAAAACTTTAGTGGATACCGACATCGCCTTATATACAGTAGTGCAATCAAAAGTATAATAAAGTCGCTTTATTATCGTGTATGGAGTGTTCAGCTAGCTAGTTAAAAAACTACATAATTGAGATTTAGAAGAAAATGTTTTTACATATTATAAATGACAACTCGATCTTTGTTTCAAGGCTTTGATAATGTCTCACAATCACTTATTTACCTCAATAAACAAGTGTAAATATAGATCAATAAAAATGTTATTTTGTTTAGCCATGAAAATGTTGACTAGATAATTTACGTGCTTCCAGTTTGTGGTATGGGAGAGAACGTCATTTATTTATTTTATTTATTTAGAAAACCAACAGCGTATATAGTAAATATTAACATTAATGTAACAAACTAAAAAAGATAACTCCATAAAACTACCTTCTCCTTCTCTCATGCTTTCTTCCTCCTATTGAAAATAAAGAGGATTTCGGATTTATTATTTTACATCCTACGGTTTGCTGCCTGCTAACTCCAGTTGTAGATTGTGGGTAAGTTTCTGTTTTCGGCGTTGGTTGCCTGTTCTCTCCGTATTTATTCAAACAATCCTGAGATTGTCAGATCATTTCTTTATAATAATAATGACTATGACAAATAGTCCACGTAGTGGTGTGACCTCTGTGACAAACTTCAAACAAAAATTGTATAGTCAGAGCTAGTGAGAACTGAAAAGCCTCCCTAAAAATATTTTAATGTAATATAAAATATCTACCCAATTAAAAAGAAAATGTCCGTTTATAATGTTAAAATAACAGCTTTTTACTAAATGCATATGAAAATATATACCGTACTTTTAACAAAAAAGAACTATTTTCAATTTTGTCTGTCTGTCTATCTGTTTGTTCCGGCTAATCTCTGAAACGGCTGGACCGAATTTTGACGGGGCTTTCACTGGCAAATAGCTGATCTTATAAGGTGTAACTTAGGTTACTTTTATTATAGAAAAATAATTAGTGTTCCGTGCAAAAAGATTAAAGCCCATTAAATCCATTCGTAATAAATTCCACGCGGGCAAAGTCGCGAGGAACGTCTAGTATATAACAATTTTAAAATTTTCTAGAAGTGTTTTCAAGAACAGTGTTAGGGTACTGGCGTTTTTTACTTAAAACTTGCTCAATTGCCTTATTTTTCATATTCTGCATGTGCTCTTTATATATATATATATATATATATATATATATATATATATATATATATATATATATATTATATGCGCAGTCGCAGTCGGGGCCAGCGCGATCTAGCTTTGTAAATACTTGTCAAAATACTCGTCAAAATATATATATATATATATATATAATCCGTCTTTTTATAAAACTAATTCAAAATAACTTTCTGACTACAAAAAAGCATTGTTAATAATAATACTACATCCCTGATACACGTTTTTAAATTGAGTTAGAAAGTAAAATCTTGTTTGCGGGATTATCATTTAACAAAAATATGCAGTATTTTATTATACATAGTTGTTCATGCTTTATATTTAAACTCGAAAACGTATGTATTGTTTTGCTTAATTGTGTATAAAGCTGTTCTCTCTATTTATTATTATTTTTATAACCATAAGCAGTACCTATATCAAACAAGTGTTATAAGGTAACTAAATTGACTAATAAGTTGATTTTGTCCTATTAATTTTCTTAAAGGTTCCGCCTTTAACACGGACAGGTGTGTGACTGTACTTTGTTAAATATTTTATACTGTAAAAATATATATATTAAGCATTGTTGTTGGGCAAGTCTTTTGACGTAATATGTTTATGATTAATGATAATGTAAATAAAATTTATTTATTGAAATGTTGATTTAATTTTCATTATTATTATATTTAAAAACAAACCTTATTTGTACAATGGATGAGATATATAAAGTCATATTTTTAAGTAGCGTCTCTGTCTATTGAAAGAAAATTAATAAAACAATAGTTTTTATTTTACTAATTTTGTTATAGGATCGGGTGACTAACGAGCACACAGTTCACCTGATGGTAAGTGGTTACTGTGACCCATAGACATCTATATCTATCTCAATAAAGACTCAAGATGCAGATGCGTTGTCACCCATGAGGACTAAGATGGAATGCCTCTTTGCCAGTAAAAAGGGTCTCCGGTTCTCTACACTCACCATACGAAACACAGCAGCGTTAAGCTGCTATTTTACGCTGGTTTTCTGTGAGAGCGTGGTCCTTCCCCGGTCGAGCCGACCCATTCGTGCTACAACCATAATATACCTGCAGCATGGCTCTACCAATTTTTAATAAAGGTTTAAAAACAGGGTGCGAAGAATGTAGACACATTTGCTATAATATTTAATTGTATTAACTCGTTATAAATAGTATAATGCTGGACATTGACCTTCTACAGTACCCTTATTAACTAACTTTTTTATCAAAAATTGAAGACATAAACTCACAGTCCAGTTCATGGTAATAGCTGCTGCAGCCCATAGACAACTAACTTCAAACGAAGAAGGCTACAGGTACATTGTCACCTCTTAGGACCAAGGTGTAATGCCTTACAGCCTGTTACTATACTGGCTCTCTTTACCCTTCAGACAGAAAAAGAGCAGTGCGCGCGTTGGTGTTTGGCGACAGATAGATATATAAGAGAGTGGTTGTTACCTGCCTAGACGAACTCTGAGGCAGAAAACTTGTCCTACAACTTAGTACTGAACTAAGGTAGATGTTTACGTCGTGGTGTTTGATATACTGGATGACTTTTTACCAATTGGTAAAAAAACAGGTGAACGCAGTAGAAGCCAAGCCAGCCAGTAGTGACATTTTACCTCATTTTTTTAAATTAAAATTATGAAATTGGTCTATCAATAAATACTATTAATTTGACGTAAACTTTCCGTACTAAAAACATAAAAATAAAAGATTTGACATAAATGAATAAATCAATTTAAAACTATCGAAATTCAAATCATACGCACCCCTACTTTACGAGCAGCAATAAACAATGAATTTGTAACGCACCCGCCGTAGGCCTCTTTGTCCTTGTTCTTGCTCAAGTGAACGGCGGAGCACTTCTCCGGGTTCACATCGATGCGCCATTTTTGGAACCAAGCTCTTAGGTCATTAACTGACTTTTGGATCTTGTTCCGTATGAAAGGTACCTTTACAATAGAGGGCAGTGTCATCTGCGAAGAGGGAGAGCTGAACACCATTCGACGGGATGGGAATGTCGTTGGTGAACAAAATGTACAGGAGAGGAGCAAGTACTGAGCCCTGAGGGACACCAGCTTGATGGGGTGCTGAGAGGAGAACGTGCCTTCGTGTCTAAAACGAAACGAGGCCACGAGACGCACAAGACGATCAGGGAGACCTATTTTGTAAAGTTTATAGATAATGCCTTCATGCCGGACTCTATCGAATGATTTAGCAATGTCGAAAAAGACCGCGATGGTCTTATGACGACGAGGATAAAAACCGCTGTGGATATATTCCACAATACGGTGAACTTGTTGGGGACAAGAATGTTTCGCTCGGAAACCAAATTGGTGGGGGATGACAAGAGGGTCACCGTCTGTGGGAAACAGATGGAGCCTCATACGAGTGAGGATGACTCTTTCGAAGAGTTTGCCCATGGCCTTGAGTAGGCTGATGGGACGATGACTGGAGGGGAGGTTGAGAGGCTTTCCTGGCTTGGGAATACCAATGACAGTTGCCTCTTTCCACGTAGTGGGAAAGTAACTAAGATTGAAGCAGGCATTGAAGATGATAATTAAAAGGGTTAACACCTGCTCAGGAAAGTGTTGCTGTATTCGGCCGGCACGAATGTATGTCGCAGCCAAATAAGAAATAAGATGTATTATTAATGAACGCCTAGTCCGCCTTGCGTTTAATGCTAAATTTTAATTGCCATGCATTACAAAACAAACAAATGCAGTGGGTTGTCTTTAATATCGTAACATTCAATAGCGCTTTTGAAGTGTGGCTAGAAATGTTGTCGTAAAGAAAGTGGACCTAACTAGTCGTTCTCTAATCAGGCTAGACATTGTCTGCCGTTTTAGACAAAGTATCGAAACGTCATTCCGGCTGAACGTCAGTAATCTGAATTCGTAAAAGGCGCCGCGCCGTATCAAAAAAAAGAACACTTAACTGCAAGCAGTACGAAGCCAAGTATTGTAGCTAGGTCTTTTTGAATAAACCTGATTGTAAAGGTTGGCTGCAACGATGTGTGACCGCCCCACTCGGCCGATACCGACGATGAATGCCTAAAGAACGAAAGAAATGTGCATGCGTCTCGCTCGCGCTACAACTTTTATTTACTAGCGATCATAGCCTACGCCGTTTAAAATAATATCACCTATTTATAGTTATAATTTTACGCAAATGTCGTAGGATGAATTGTTTTTATGTATTTTTTTTTGGATTTTCAGAAATTTTGCCTATCAGTTATAATTTACAAATAGGTACTTTCGAGGATAGATTCTATTCCACTTACAAAAAACACCATATTATTTTCCAGATGGTAAAAAAGTCACCCAGTAAAAATGCGTAAAGATTTCTAGTTTATACTTGCGACACCCTTTCTTTGCAATCTAGGTAATGTTGACAATTTTATTTTTGGATTTATAAAAAAACATTATGTTAAATTACTACAGGTAAATTTCAAATACTCCAAAACACTAAAAATTGGAAAGTTGAGAGTATAATGAATGATAATTTTTTTTTTATTGAACAGTCCTTATATTTTAAAGCTTAATAATAACTTATTTAATCAACTAGGAGTTAAAAGCAATCACATGATGGCCATTTTAAGAACTTGCTATTTGGTCCTCTTCATTCCGTTAATAGCAAACCAAGTATAAAAAACGCAAACTTCAATTTTATTTCTATGCACGAAGATTAATTTCAATTCTCAACGAACACTACGAACGAATCAACAAAGTCGCAGATGTGTGTGACTGACGATCGTCAATTTGCCCTCGTCCTGCAGGTCAC